CCAGATACTGGGTTGCTGTTAAGAAACTTAAATTAAGTTACTATAATCCCCCTATAATGGAGAACCAAATGGAAAAGAAAATAGAAAATGAAATGGAAACTGGGGGAATATAGGGATTTAAGAGACTTAAATTAAGTTACTATATTGGGGAAACCCTATTATTTACTATATAGACCCATTATGGTAACTTAATTTAAGTTCCTTAACAGCAATCCAGGACAGCCATGGCAAAAGCCCTTTCCAACACGCATGCCTTCGTGGGGGCCACGTGGCTGCCATGCGTTTCCTGTTGGAGGCTCGTGCAGACAAGGATTCCGTTGACAAGATGGGCATGACTCCATTGCATGAGGCATCTGCTGGTGGTGTTGTGGAAATTGTGCGTCTGCTTCTTGAGGCAGGGGCTGAGAAGAATAAAGTCGACAGCTCAGGCAAGACTGCATTGCATTGGGCCTGCAAGCAGGCTCCGTATGCAATCGCACGGTTGCTGGTCGGAGCTGGTGCAGACAAGGACATAGCTGATGCTGAAGGTAACTTGCCTTCGCACTATGCTTCCCTCAGGGGAATTGCCAAGCTCAATGATCTGCTCTCCGCATCAGACAAGGCTTCCGCTTGAGCCCCATGTTTCCTGTAACCGTTCAAGTAAAAAGTAGGCTAACTGCGGGAAACCAGAGTCATTGTGTGGCTTGTGGGGGTCGTGCTAAGACTTGCTAAGTCTCCCTGGCAGTCATGCCTGTATCGCATGTCACGCTTCCTTCTGATGTGAGCTATATTCTAATCTCCTAGCATCCCCCTCAACAACTCCTAGAACACTCCCCCATATTGCCTATATAATCCCCCACATAACACCGTCAAGCAGTTTAGACCACAGCCCATGTCATCCACAGACTTTCGACGAAAGCTCGCAAAAATGACCGCTTCAGCTTGTGTCCAAGGCTGTTTCTGTGATATGGTAGTTTCCCGAAATAGGGGGACCCCAATATAGACCCCAAAAGACTATAGTCCTTATCATAGGGACCCCCAAAAAGGTACCCCTAATTTTGAGGAACCCTAATCCCTATAAACCCCTATATAATCCCAGTTTCCAGTTCATTTTCCATTTTCTTTCCCATTGGATTCTCAATTATAGTAGGTACCCCTAATTTTGAGGAACCCCTAATCCCTATAAACCCCTATATAATCCCAGTTTCCATTTCATTTTCCATTTTCTTTTCCATTTGATTCTCCATTATGGTAGGTACCCCTAATTTTGAGGAACCCCCATATCAGTGTGGTGAATCGGCTGAGGTTTGTTTAGGGTTTAGGGGGTTCGGGGTTTAGGGATTTAGGGTTGAGGGGCTTAGGGTTTAAAAAGGTTCAGGGTTTTAGACGTTAGGGTTTAGGGTTGGAAGATGGTGTTTCAAGCTTATGTACTTCATCCTCTTGAGCAGGGTCGCCAGGTCCCTTGATCCCAGTCCTTGACCTAAACCCTAAGCCCTAAATTCAATGTTCCGCCTTTGCCCTGGATACAGGACACCTGAGTTCACGGTTTATGGCTTAGGGATCCTGATTACGGACCCCCAGAATTCCCCTGTCATGTGCCCCCACCCCAGGGTCCCAAACACCAAAACCCTAAACGCGGCCAAACCCCCAATCCCTCCCCTCAAACCACTTTTAAAGACAAGCTCGTATTCGAGCCTAAGCCCTAGATCTCCTAAGCTGTAAACCAGAGACTAAAAAATCGAACCTCCTAAGCCTAACCCTAAACCGCCAACGCTCTAAACCCTACATAGCAGTTTCCTCCATTTTCTTTTCCATTATTCCCTATATGATCGTGATTCATATAGACCTTATTATGGTAGTTTCCATTATTATTCCAAATATAACCCCCAATATACTATAGTAGTCTCCATTTTCTTTTCCATTATTCCCTATATGGTAGTTTCCCAAAATGAGGGGACCCCAATATAGATCCCAAAATACTATAATCCTTATTATGGGAACCCCCAAAATGGTACCCCTCATTTTGGGAAACCCCTATATGGGAACCTTAAGCCATGCCCCTCCAAGCCTCCAAAATTCGCTCTGCGCAGGTGAGCTTGGAGGAGTTCATGCAGGTCTGCTGGGGGTAGTAATCATGGCAAGAGTAAGAATCATGGTAAGAGTAATAGTAATAGTACTAGTAACTGTAGTAGTAGTAGTAGTAGCAGCAGCAGCACAAGTAATTGCAACTTCAGACTCCCAGAGAGTCAGCTTCATGGTTCGTATCGCGGGTTTAGGGTTGTAGCTACAGGGAACTGAGTCATAGAGAGAGGAAGATGAAAAAGGATCGAGGGAGGAAGGGAGGGAGGGAAGGGCGAGAGAGAGTATGAGAGTACATGGGCCCTAGCTTGGAGAAGGCGCCGCGGGAACCACTTCTGGTAAGGTTAAGGAGGTGCTTGCTTAGGGTTTAGGGTTCACTTCAATTTCGTGGGTCCTTCGGCCTCAGCAGAGAGCAGGCTGACATGAATTGGGTTGCAGTTGTATCCATACGATCGGAATTTACGTCCTTAACAGCAACCCGTTAAAGTGACAGGAAGCTGAGTGTCTGCCCTACCCGAAGCCCTCAAGACCATTCTGCCAGGCGTTCAAAATCAAAGAGGTCAAGACAAAGATGACGCTTCTTGGTCTCAAGGACTTCCATGGTTTAGGTTTTAGGGTAGTCTCCATGCATAGTGGGACCCTGGGACCCCATCATAGACCTATATGTATTTATAATCCTTGGTACCCAAAGATAGGGCCACTGATTTTCGCAAATTTGACTTAACTTCTATTGCGAAAGGATTCATGACGAGAGCTGCTGTCTTGCTCGCTGCTAGCAGGGAAAGGATCCCTAGGGCTCTTTTGGTTACTGGTTAGGGTTTAGGGTTTAGGGTGTTACCCTTAGCGGGATCAACAAATCAATTATTGCTACCTTCTTAGGGGAGTACAGTCCCTAAACTCAACCCTGTAAATCCTAATCTCTAAATTTTAGAGGCCCTAAACCCTATAAAGCCTAATCTCTAAATTTTAGAGGCCCCTAAACCCTAGACCATAAGCCCATAGAGAATGTAAAGAGAGGAAACCGAGATGCTAGACCTCTTCCGCCTCCTTGACACAGATGGCGAGGGAGAGTCACCCGTCCTTTTGGGTAGTTTAAAAACTGGCTTGGGTTTAGGGTTTAGGGTTTGGGTATAGGGGTTAATGGTAATACAAATCCAAAATGGATTTTAAAGTTCTGCGCGGGTCTTTCTTTGGCATCGGATTTTGAAAGTCCGCTGCCTTGTGGACAGACAAAAGAAGCCCAGGTCTGCGTGTCACTATATTTGGGTTACTCACATGAGCTGTAGTCTAAATTCCTTAAAGGGGGGTTATATAGGGGGATTATATAGGGGACTATTATAGGGCTTATTGAGGGGGATACTAGGAGTTTAGACTATAGCTCACATGCCCTGATTAATTGGGGTTCTCTGCAGACGATTTGTTGGTCAGATTTAAGTGAGCCAAGTCTCTGCTAGGCATAGGGCATTGTCTCAATGTTGCCATGCTTTCTGTTTGATACGCGGTCTTGGCCACAGCAGAAGGTCCTATACAGATTATACTGAGGATTTGTCCACCAGGGCTCGATAAACATAACAAGGTTCTAGGATAAGTCATGCGTAGGTATGTAAGAGGTTCAGGAGGATAATGTTCCGACTTATTCTGGCTGTACAGTATTTGCTGACTTCTGTGCGTAGCTGCACAGATTTGTCTGGTGCCAGATTACATTCTACGCAATCCATACCATCATCCTCTGATATTGTTTGTGGCCTTGCGCGCAACCCTACACCCTAAAGTGTATTTGAGCGAACTAGTCTTCATCGGATTCTTTGGAGAGCCGGTGTAGGTCAGAAGCTGTAAGTTGTGAGACGCATTCCGTATGAAGTTGTTACGCGGTGCATGGACCTCTACTTGTCCAGGCCTTTCTCGAAGCATCTTGTTACCAAGACCTTCCCAGTACCCTTGATTGGGGCTATAGGGCCCCTAATAGTGGGTACATAGGCCTGAATAGAAGATAGTTTCAGGGGCTAGGTAAATCTGCGGGCTCAGAAGGTGGGATGAAAAGGTAGGCGGGCTAAAGGATCTGTATTCTAGATTCCATTATGTTGAGGTTACCCCACCTTCCTTTACCTCAGTTTAGGGTTTAGAGTTTAGCATCTGCCAAGCTTCCAACAAGGTCCTCCCTTAGCTTTCCACTTAAGTCCTGCTTAGTAGTAGTAGTAGTAGTAGTAGTATTTGCAGGCTCCCTTGTTGGACTCTTTGTCTCAGAATTCCCATACTTGAGCTACCGCTTCAATGCCCCTCAGTTTTGAACATCAGAAAAGTAAGGCGTTTTATTAGGGTCCCCTCTTTGGGGGCATTATAGTATTTGGAGGGTCTATACAGGGGTCCAAACCCTACATCCTAAGCCCTAAACCCTATATACCCCCCCCTATAACCCTGTGTCACCTGTATAACCCTACATGCCCCTATCACCCTATACTCCCCCGATAATCCTTTATACCCCCCTACACCCCCAATATAACCGTCTAGATTTGGGTATTGGTCTAAATTCCCTATAATATGGGGTCC